GTCTCCGTCTGTCTCCGTCTGTCTCCGTCTGTCTCTCTATCTCTCTGTCTATCTCTCTGTCTCTCGGTCTCTCTCTGTCTGTCTGTCTCTCTGTCTCTCTCTCTCTCTCTCTCTCTCTCTCTCTCTCTCTCTCGCTCGCTCTCGCACAAAGGAGCGGACCGAGTTGTGCGTTGGTTTTTCTGCCATGGCCGCAGGTCGCGCGAATACGGCGCGCTGAAGAGGAGGAGCTCCGACGACGCGTGGAGGAGGTCGCCGTCACGCTAATCCAAGTCTCGTGGTTCTCATTTCCCTGCAAACCTCGGGAGGCCGAGCACGACAAGCGACGAAGAAAGGAAGAAGAGCTCCGACTGCAGATGCAGCGAGAGGCACTGTTCGAAATGCGCAGAGGGAGATCTGTGCAAAATCGGGCGGGAGCCTTAAGCGGCCTTCGGCTTTCAGGAGGAGGCTCGCCGGGCGAAGCTCGAAGAAGAGCGCCTTCTCGAGCTGATGCAGTGACTCGGCACCAATTCGCACATCACAAACAGCGGTCGCCGTCGTAGCGAGGGTCTGTTTTTTGGAATTTCAGGCCGAGGAAGTGCCAGAAGTGCGAAGGTTCTGGCCGCTGTGCCAACTGCCAGGCTTCACTGCGACTTGAAAGCTGTCCATTCTGCGAGCTGGTGTCTTGTTGCCTAAGAATTGTTGGGCAGGGAGAGGGCTCCGTGGACGTGCTTTTCCTCGCGCCGTCGGTGGGTTCCAGGCTTCATGTCGAGAAGGGAAAGCCGGAGCCATTTGCAGTGCTCAGCCGCGGTCTTTGGATGTCTTTGGTCTTTCGTGTCAGGCCGATGCCCATCTTGCAGGGCCGGCGCCCCCGAGGCTGCAGGCGCGCCGCGACCCCTACAATAGGGCCCAGCATGGCCCAGCTTCCTCCGAGTCGCTTCGGCTTTGGAAGAGGCTCTGTGGTGGAGCCGGCGACGGCGCCCTTCTCCGGGACTTCGTCGCGGGGAGCGGCAGATGTGACGTCTGCAAGGGCGAGCGCTTCATCAAGCCGCCCCCAGGCAGAGCACTTCCCGACTCTGCATCGATGTGGCTCTGCTGGAGACTGACAGGTGGCTTCAAGACGCCGGCAAAAGCAGAAGCTACACCCAGGAGGACCTCGCGGGAATACGAGGCGCAGGAAGCAGAGGGCGCATGGCACTCTGGCTTGACCTAGATTCGAGGCCTTGAACGGGTCCATGCCGGATGCTAGCGCCTTGCCAGACTGACACGCCGAGTGTGGCTGCAGAATCTTCGCCGATCAAGTCCAGGCCTGTTGCCTGCTTGCTTAAAGCAAAAAGGCAGGATGCCGAAGCACAAACTCTGCATACGTGCCATGTTCTATATACTCTTCCAGCAATGTGCATTCACAATGCAAGCGATCTGCCAGAAAGACTGGCTTGTAATAAGCATCGCAGGGGTCCAAGGCATGGAAGGCTATATAGATCATGGATGATGCCGTGACACGAAAATTACTTGAACCTACGCCTGATCAGGCTGCATGCTTTTCCAGCGCGTTTCATCTCACGTTTCTCAAGTTGCAGGATGTTGCAGGTTTGGAGAATCCACCTGCAACGTCGCCTCGCTCCCGTTCACGCCATCTCTGGCTTTGCCGCTTCAAAGAGCGACGAGGACGCGGCCCTGGCACCGAGCGCTCCGGCTGAGCAGGGACGCAGCGGAGCTTCCAAGCCCAGCAGCGAAGCCATGGAAAAAAGACTGCAGCGCCTCCACAGTGCTTTGACGCATGCGTAGCTATTGAGCGTCGAGACCCTCTAGAGTTCTCCTGCTCCCCGCCTAGATGGGTGTAGCTTCTTCGTCTGGTTCCTGGGCTTCAATTGCTTTGTGCAGTTGCGTGAGGCCTCGTTCTGACCCTGCCGCTTGTACAGGTCCCTCTTTGGCTTTGGCTTGGGTGTTAACTTCGGGCTTCCGCACTCCGTGAGATTGCGCCGAAGCTTCCTTTCCCCTGAGAACTTGAGACACTGCGCGGACCTTTTCGGGCGCACAGTTTGCACTCAGCTGCCGAAAGGGGTCACCTGCCATGTTGCAGCACCTTTGCTGTCTGGCGCAGGCAGGAGATTGCTGAAAGGAGAGGACGTGTCAGTGGGCGCATGGCATTGGTCCGCCTCGGAGAGGTCTGCTTGGCCCTGGCAGTGCTGGAAGCGCCCGCTCGGCCTGGAGCCGAGAGGCCGCCCAGGCCCGCCACGGCCGCTCAGGCCGGGCCCCGTCGGAGCGTTCTCGGAGTAAGGCTCGCCGTCTCTCGCCAGGCCCCGGACTGGCAAGGCCTGAACGCGACAGCACTGTCTTTCCCAACTGTCTGCAAGTCAGCGAGGCTTCCTGGACCAGGCTTCCCTTGCCCGGCAGTCCTGTGTAGTGCTCTGTGGAGCGCGACCTGGTAATGCGTCTCGACTTTGCTAAGCATCAGTGAGTAAAATCGGGACTTGAGTGAAGTGCACATGCATTTCCAGAGGAGTGGGTAAAACAAGTAAGCTCGTGAACATGTTGTTTCGGCATCTCGGCATACATCACATACTGCATCGTCTGTGGGCGTATTTTTGCCCTGGCAGCTATCGTAAGCTGCGCAAGTCCCTCTGCATGATGAGGGCCGGAGAGTCTGCTGCACTCATCCCAGCCTGGTGGCTCTCTGCTTCGGCTCAGGTTGGATCCACACTTCGAGTCTGTGCACTTCTGGGTTTGCCTTTTCTCGTGGTCATAGGCTTGTCGCGAGACAAATGCAAAAAGGCCAGGCCTGGTGCTTGCTTCTGTTTTCCTCCGTTCATCTTTGGCTCGCAGGCCGTGGAGCTGTCACAACTCGGAGAGGATCCAGGCAGCTCCGTGCAACTCCTGCCCATAACATCTACCAACCTACAAGAAAACCCAAACCCGAACCAAGGCTGTACCCCACACCCCTGACCTCAACCCAAAGCCTTCCATAAATCCGAAGAGCACCCTTTACCCCCGACCTCACATCCTGCCCCCCCCCTTCACTTTTGCCCCATTTCTCAACCCGCCGAACAAGTCAACCCTTCAAACCCGCAGTACACAAAGCACCTCCCCAATAATCCATAACACAATCCAAAAGACAACGCACCCACCAAATCCCACGCCGAAATCCCAAATACAATCCAAAACTCCAAAACACAAAGCACCTCCCAATCCCACGCCGAAATCCCAAATACAATCCAAAACCAAAGCACCTCCCAGCACAACACCAAACCCCAAAGCACAAAAAAGCCGAAAGCACCTCCTTGCCCCACGCCCTCGCCTATACCCCCACCCTAAGCCCTAACCTTTATCCGACCCAATAACGAACGAGGAAGAACTTGCGAAAGGGGAGCAGCGAGTTACTTTCAATGCTTTATCATAAGAATAAAGCGGTTAATCAGTTTGAGAACGAACATTTTCATAATTCAATTTATGAAACATGTTAAGTATATTCTTATATATGGTAAAATATGTTGAGAGGATTGTTGTTTCATTCAATGACGAAAGCAATATTTATTATTTAGTATATGAGACAAGTTGTTGTAATAATTGTCCTTTGCTTAAGGAGATACAATCATTTAAAAGTCGTTTAAAGAATATTGAATACAATAAGACTTGCAGGAATTGTTTGGATAAGTCAAGAAAAAGTAGCCCTGTTTCTGTAAATTGCAATGCAGTTTATGTTAAACCGTTTGATACATATTTTTAATCTAACGCGTTTTATGGTGATATGAACAATGACCTGAATGCAACAGACTTTGAAAAAATAATGGGGGAGTCCAATGGAGGAGTTAAAAGAAGTGAATAGGAAAATTGATAATTTGATAGTTATGAGTAAACCTAAGCCAGTAAAAGCACCTGTTATTCAAGATGGGGTATATAGCAATAAAAGGAATGTATATGTCATTAGGTTGAAACACACTTCAAATATCCTAAAAAAGAGACTTTGGCATATTATGAAATCAAATACGATGCTGAAAAGAAGGTTTATTCATAAGAATCGACATTGTGAAACAACAGACGGAAAAGAAAGAACAAAAGGGTTTAAAGGGATAACGCCTTAGTGTGGTAGGGAATGACCGAATACTTCAAAAGGTGCAAACAATGCGGTGATGACTATGCAACTGATAGGTTCAGTGTAAGGGTTCATACATGTGATTGCTGCCGAGAAGAAAATAAGAAGAAAAGAGACGAGACCAAGAAGCAATGGAAATTAGATAACCCCGACAAAGTTAAAGGAGAGAGAGAGACAGAGAGAGAGAGAAATAACGAAAGAAAGAGAGAGAGAGAGGCGAGGGGCAACCCTCGTCCGTAGCCCTGGCGAAAGAAAAGAGAGAGAGAGAGAGAGATATATATATATGGATAAAATCAAAGAGAAGAAGAAACAGTATAGACAAAGCGACGAAGGGAAAGCAAACATCAGGGAATACAACCAGCTTAAGTATCATTGCGAGTTATGCGACTACGACATTAGGAAATGTAAGAAAGCACAACACGGAAAAATCTAAAACATCAGTATTTTTTACAGAAAAGCCTGAACAATGAAAAAGTGGAACGACCAGACAAAAGAGACATGTATTCTGGTATGGAGTATTTTTGCTCTCTGAAATGTAAGAAGAAAGAGATTTGTCATGCTGGTATAAGCATATATATCCAGTGAAGAGCATATCAATAAAGCAAAATAACATTTTACTAAATTTTAGTAAAATCCTATGTGGCGAGGAGATGGGAGCTTTGGGGTTTTTATGGGTTTGGGGTTTTGTGTGTTGCGAGGTCCGGGGTAAGGGGTGCTCTTCGGATTTATGGAAGGTTTTGGGTTGAGGTCAGGGGTATGGGGTACTGCTTTGGTTTGGGTTTAGGTTTTTTTGTAGGTTGGTAGATGTTGTGGGAATGCTTTGGTGGGAGTTTGGGGGGGTAGTAGGGGATGAGGTCGTGGGTTAGCTATTGCTTGCTGCTTCCGCGCTCGAGGTGTTTCGCTGGTGAAGCCGCCGCTAAGCTTGGAAGTTCACGAGGTCCCCGAACCCACACTGCGACTGCTGTTGCGAGCGCCTGGCAGACGTAGGTTCTACAACGACTTCGGGCTACCGGACTCAGCCTTCTCGGCCTGACAGCTCACAGCCACGGCCACAGTCCTGCGTTTGGTTTTGTCGGTCTTGTCGTCCTGGCAGGGAATCAGAACATTCCTCCAAGTGGATATATGTTCCATACTCCCCTGGTGCGCGGTCTCTGCTCTCAGCTTTGAGAATTTGGCGGCAGATGTGCTGCCGTATGTTCCCGACGCCCGCGAAAAAAACACTTACCTCTCGGGTACACAGGGAACAGATCAACGAACATGGTTACGAGCAGCGTATTTTCGCAGCGATGCGGTCGTTCGATTACCTTTGACGGGCTCACAACACAGAGTAGCTGATCATCGCAGATCCGCTCCAGAATTGGATCGGGTGAAGAAGATATGAGCTCTGATGTTTTGCCACTTGTGTTCGGGCGAACTCGCCTCTGCCGCACCTCGTGATGTCCGTCCTGGGAACGTGCACTCCGCTAGGAGCCACCTCTGAGCGCAAACGAGTTTCAGACGTACGGTCAGGATGCCTCGGACGAGTTCACCTTGTTTCATGTGAACTGTTTCCGATAGTCCAGTTTAGCCTTTTGCAAATGTAGGGTGTGGGATGCAGTCGACACATGGCTGAGGTGCAGGAGGCAAAGCCAAGCCTGTATGGAATTTGAAATTGACCTGTCCAGGCGCTGAAGATGGGTCAGTAATGTGCAGTTTGCTGCAACTTTGTCCACTGGCAGGTGTGGCCTTTGTTTTCGGGCGAGAGCACGACGGAATTCCGCCGAATGCAGAGATGTTGCTAGATGAGGCCGGTTGGCAACAGACACAGCGAAGATTCAGGCTGGCTTTTAGTGGACTGGGCAAGGCTGCCACAATTCCCATGGTCGTTGATGGCGAGAAGGTCCGCTGCCCCACTTAAGGAGACTCGACTGGAGGTTTATGCAATTTTTGAAGTCGGTTGGACAGGGAAGCCTCAACGTGTCCCATGCGGCGGCGCTTGTGTTGTATGAACGGCGGAGGCAGCTAATGCTTGAAAAACAATGCTCCAGACGTTGCATGATGGACTCCCTCCACTGCATGTCTGATCTGCATGCTTCACCACACAACCACACAACCACCCAAGAAGCAATCAAGAAGTGCCGGTGGAATTGCGACAACTTCAAGCTGGTTTGTCGAGCGGCCATGGCAGCAAACGAGTCCTGCCCGGAACACCTGACACTCAATAACGGCGACGCTTCTGTGGTTGACTGCAGATGACTGTCAGCACAGACAGGCAGGGCAGAACAAACTACAGATGAGACCAACGTGCTTGGATGTGTGGAGAACCCTGCTTGAAGCCTTTGATTGCCCTCAGTAGTGCCAAAGAGATCGTGGCAAAGCTGTTTGGTCAATGTCCTTCATTGGCAGGGTCAACTATGTCTACTATCGTGGTAGCATCAGGCTCATAGGGGTCAGTGGAATGAGCTGGAACATGCAACGTGCACTTGGACAGTTAGTGATAGTGATGCTCATGAACTCCGTCATCAATTGCATCACTGCAGCACATAAACTACAAGCACTAGACCTCGAGCATGTAATTCCACCTGTGACTCCCAATTAGCCTCCCGCTGTCTTGGAAGATCCAATGTCTCAAAACTCCATCCGAAAGAAGGGATCCCTTGGCGCTGTAGACCACATAGTCACATAGCTGTAATGCCGCGATAGACTACAATAAGAGGAACTTTGCTGCGGCCGTAGACACCGGCATGCCGCCGAAGAAAAAGGCCGCAGATGAAGCTGGAGGCCAAATGATGACATGACCCCAAGCAGCCTGACATGACCTGGTCCTGTCTACAGCCGGCAGAGGTGCTGAATTGGTCTTTGGGGCTGAGTCTGTCGGCTATGCGTGAGGCTCACCGCTTAAGAAAGCAAAGAAAGGGAAAGCCGCCGTCTGGGAGTGGAAGGCCGTGCCCTCAGATCCGAGCTGGAAGTTTGATCGATGGATCGCTACCAATTATAGGATGGAAGCTCCTGGAAAGCATATGCAGATGAGGACGATCGCCCAACAGCTTACTTGCTCGTGCCTGCACATTTCGACGTGCCTGCGAAGCTCGAAGAGCCCACGCCGTGGCAAGCAGAAAGGAAGCACCCTGTTCTTTCAAAATGCAGGGCCTGCTTCCATCGACCCTGGCACTTTGTGGATATGTGTGTGTGTGTGTGTTTGTGTTTCTGCCGCCCCGGCCGCAGGATTCACAACTGTCCGGATCCCGGAGCCTGGGTCGAGCCTGGCAAAATGAGACTTTTGCACACATTCCGCAGCTGTTGACTCATAGAAAGTGTGGCTGCAGAGCAGCAAGGCAGTACGACGAAACAGCTCCACTCCGGGCTTGTTTGTACTGGTTTGCTTCATCATGGCCACGATGCAAAACGCTTTCGTTTCTAAAGTTGTGCCAACAGACAGGTGTCCTGAGACGTTGAATGTGTGAGACAATAATAGCAAATAATAGTTAGTTAGTAGTTCTTCCCTCTTGGATCGCCCATGGCAAATCTCTCCACCAGCACGTGATGACCTTGCTAGGAAAATCGCAGATCGCAGATGGACAGCTGCAGCCTTCAGATCTGCTCCTGTGAAGGACATTGGCGGCCACAAGTGCGCTGTCCGAATGACCACGTGCTGCAGCAGAAGATTACCGGCTCTGGCTTCATGGGCCTCTGGGTCAAGGACAGGTTTGCGAGACTCGAAACGCTGCAAGAACCGGAGACATGCCGGCGATTGAAAGATATTCAAAACAACGCGAGTCGGAAGAGTGACAGAGAGACCTCCGAGACAGAGACAGAGAGAGAGAGAGAGAGAGAGAGAGCATCGAAAGAAAGAGAGAGAGCATCCAGGGGGGAAATCCAATGATCGCTGAATTCGGTTGGACTTTCACAACGGGGAAACTGTACATGTGTAGAGTTTGGCAGGCTTGGGTGCACATGCATCATTCTAAGCTTTGGTGCTGACTGCCATTGTGGCTCAAGTGTGATCCAAAACGGCAGGCAGCTGATTTTTGGAGATTGGGGGGGGTTGACCCCTATATTTATTGCTGCTTTCAGCAGGGAGTGACCCTGTAGGCGGGAGTGCCCCGTTATGCAATATGCCCTACATTTTGCAGCCAAGAAGTTCCCTGTTGCGGAGGCCAATCATTTGGAGCATGGGTTTCCTAGGGGAGCGACCCCTGTACAACGTTGGTTGTTGTGGTATGATTGGCAGCAGGGTGAGCTTATTTGGCTGGGGCCTACCTATCTTCCGGTCTCGTCTTGGGAGGATGGACGCGGTGGTCGCCGAGCCCGGGCCCATTGCGCGTGGTGGCTTCCTCCTGAGGCTGTCGAGGCGGGTTCGGGCGGGTTGCCAGCACCGTTCCGCAGTTGCCGGGGTCCGTCAGTCCTCGAGTTGCTCCGCTTGCCTGTCCCGCTGCCTCTGCTCATAGGATAGGGGCCTTGATTGCGGCAGCTCTTGTCGGGCCGATGTCTGGCATCTACGCCACGCAAGCGATGGAGAGCAGGCATGGGGCTATCGATGCCCCGCCAGGTTCGGCGGCTGAGACTGTAGTCGACAGGTTGGCTGCTCAGGCCGTGCTTTCCTTCCGTGAGCGACACGGGCTGATCGCGGACTCCGACTTTGCTTATGCTTTTTCTTCGTGGGAGGAGGCTGCACAGAACTCTGGCCATGCCGTTGCCGACGCTTGGGCGGAAGTTTCTCAGGATTTGGAGGACGATGCCATCCTGGGTTTGGTGGATAAAGCCGTGGCTGCCGGTAAAGCCGATCGAGCCAGTGTGGGCCCACACCTGTGCGTATCAGCCACCTCGTCCGCAAGCCAGTGGCGGAACGGGCCGGTCGCAGCCGCAAGAGGGACTTGCCGGCGTTGTCGGGAGCAGCGTCTGGTGAACTGTGTGAGTTCCTCGTGGACTCTGGGGCCCGGCAGCCCGACAACCTTCAAGGCGAGCGCAGGAAGGAGTGGGTTTCCTTCTTGAAGGTCCTGGCGGCGAAGAAGGTGGCCGCAGCCGAGCCCGCCACGGTCACCAGGGCGCTGCGCACGCTGCGTGAGTTGTCGCAGTGGCAGCTCCTTCGTGGGCGCTCTGGGGGCCTTGGTGACGTGGACTCCATTGACCTCTTCGCCTTTTTGCGTGACGGTACGCAGGCGCCGGGGGCGCTGGCCGGGCTCCGATGGTTTGTGAAGTTGGCCGGCCTGGGCTGGGATTTGAGTGACCTTCAGCCAGCTCCCAAGCTGGGGAGGGAGGGACCCTCGCAGGCAGCAGTGGCCGAGCCGGGCATGGTGGAGGAGCTTGAGCATCGCATCGTCCAGCTCTACGAGGCCAGGGATCCTCGGTGGTCGTGTTTGTTGGCCAACTGGTTGATCATGGCTGGGTGCCTGCGTCACCAGCACCTGGAGAGGTCGTACCCGGTGTCCATCACGCAATCTACCGCTCACTTTTGGTGCTCCAAGGGGAAGCAGTCGCATTCGCGAGCGGGTTTTCGCTGGGCGGCCCCGGCCCATTTTACGGAAGGGGTTCCCTTAAGGGGAGGCGTGGCTGGAATCATATGGCTCCTTGCCCGCGAGCAAACGCCAACGATGCGGTATATGCTTCGACAGTGCCGGCCACCCTTGGCAGTTCCGCCAGGTCACCCTGTTGGCGCAGGAGGTGTTCAGCGGCCTCGAACCTCCTGTCTCCACTTACTCATGGAGGAGGGTGGCACCTTCGGTGGGCACGCTGTTGGGCCTGGATGACACATCCCTTTTGGCATTAGGGGACTGGACTGACAAGTCCAAGGTCCAGTCCAGCAAGGCTTCGATGCCGATCCATTACAGCGGCACACGGTATTCGTTGAGTGTGCGGGTCAAGCATTTGACGTTGGCCGCTACAGCGCGCTGTTTGGCGCTGGACTCCTGGGCTGAGGCGCAAGTTCAGGCCACCGATCCCTCGTTGCAGGCCGAGGTTGCAGAAAAGATCCGCCTCGATGGGACGACGATCTGGCGACCACCGGCTGGCACTCCTGGACCACCTGGCAATTTGACCTTCAAGACCACAGCCCTGAAGCTTAGGCGCCAGAGTCGCGAGGCGCAGTTGGTGCCGGGAGGGACCCGGTCGAAGCCGGCGGAGCCGAAGAGGCCAGCACAGGTGAATGGGCGAGTTTGCTCAGCATTCTTGCGGAACGGCATGCGCCTTTGCCCGGCCTTCCAGTCTGCAGCTTGCCGCGCGGATCCTTGTGCTTTGGCGCACCAATGTGCTACAGTTCTTCGCTCGGGGCGTGTTTGTGGTGGCCGCCATCCTGCCCGCGAGTGCCACGATCGACGACGGATTGCACCTGGCGATGTTCCACCAGCCGTCTCGGTGCCCAGTGGTGTTGCGGAGGAGCCGGTGCGGCCACCTTTGCCCAGGAAGCCCAGGTTGCCGCTGGCAGAGTCCCGTGTGGTACCAGCCGTGCGCCCCAAGGCAGCAGCGGGGCCTCCGGTATCAGCCGATCTTGTGGAGGTCGAGGTGGAGGCGCTCGTGGCGGGAGTCAGTGGCGACCTTTCGGGCCAGGCGGGGGAGCCGGTGCGTGTGACACCTAAGGCGGCGAAGACGGATGCCTCTGCTGCCCAACCTGAGTGACGGGTCAGGGCTTCCAGCTGGAGGGACCGGCAGCCTACATCGTCTCAAGGGGACCGCCCTCTGCGTCCTGGTGAGTGGCGTGACAAGCCGGCCAGTCCATGTGGAGCCAGTTCGCCGTGGCAGGAAGCGGGGCCACGAGGATGATGAGGTTCGCTTCGACGAGTTAGCTCGCGAAGCCCCCCAGAAGGGGGCACAGCAGGCCCTCCAGATTCCGACCCAGGTCTGGAGGAGCCGCGCGGGTGGT